TCTGTAGTGGCTGAGGCCAAAAGATCCACAGTAATGTAGGTACGTGTTCTAAGACGCAAGTAAGTTATTATATACAAAAAGGCTTTCTCCTAATGCATCAACTTTCATCTTTCTTTTGATATTTGGTGCTAGTTTATCATGAAGTGTCGATTTTGTGTTCTTGGGCTCGTTGGATGGATTTGCAACTATTTTTGCAATATTCTAGTTTTGCGCATAAATTTATTTCCCATCTTTGGTTGGAAACATGGCTATAGATGAATGTCCTTATCCTATTATTGTTAACTGAAAAAAAAGTCTATAAAAACCTGCACTACGACTCTGCGTATATTATCAATTTTGAGTATTATTGTGTGTATTTTGGACAATCTCTTCTAAATCGTGGATCGAATTAATATTTTAACAAAAATCTGATATGAGCTTAGGGTGTGAACGGAGTAATTGGTTTGTAGTGATTTCAAATCATAAAGTATTATTTTGACACAAAGCTTGTCCATGTAGTTATCATTAGCATACTGAAGAAGATATTCAACTCGACTCTACCTCCGTGTTTTGTGGGCAGTGATTGAAATGAGTTGCTGTTGTTCTTTGGCACTAATGTTCTCTCTGATTGCAGCAACAGTTGCGAATGAGGATCAAGCTGACGTACTCTCACAAAGGCTCCCCTGTACAAGACCTGGCCGAGGTCAACAACTTCCCCCCTCAGTCCTGGCAGTGATTTGCGCCTCTTCTCAATCATAAAGAACCCTAGAAAGAAGGGAACTATGGGAAAGATGCTCCTCACCACATTCCCAAAATGATCCCCTGTGACATCACCACAAACTGCTGCCCGTAGGGGCTGCATGGGAAGCTGTGGATTCTTCCTGACTCAAGTCAAGAGATGATGGTATGATGACGATGACTATTACAGTGACTATGATGAAGAAAGATCTCAACGCATATCCTTGTGTTCATTTCCCACCTTCTGTCTTTCTGATTTGGGCCTGGTGCAAAAAGGTCTTGAGTATCCGCTCACGATCTCGTGCACACCCACACTTTCCCAGGGGTAACATCACTCTGTTTCAGAGGAGCTGTTTGATTTTTGTCATGGTTTTTTTTTTCCTTCCATGATTTTAATCTCGTCAATGATTTTGGTGTATTTTAAGAAAAAGAAACGATGAAATGCAAATCTGAAATTTTGCACCTTAAACATTTCAGAATCAAGAGCAAAAGTGGGTTTAGATGGCGCCTTAAAACATCATCATTGTACATGGCATTTGTTAAGTTTCATGTTCTGGAATAAAGTATATGCGATGAACGCTCCGGAGACAGGCTGTGTTGTGCCTACACCGCATCTCATATGAAGTCATGGTTGCACCACCTTGCATCGATCATCATCATTCATAGGAAAGAACATACTCTTGAAGTCATCTGTCATCAAGCGGGTGGATTCGTTAACGATGGAATGGGAAGTTAGAGATCGCTGCTTTGAGTTTTTCATCACCCTATAATTTATCATCATCGTCGATGCTGGAGACATCTTCTCAAAAGCCCTTATTTAGCACATTTTGTTTTCTTCTTCTAGTCATGCGATTCATTTTATGATAATTGAAAAAACATTTATGTAGTTTTGATAATAGCCTACACTAAAGATTGATTTTAGCATGATCCCTACGGATTGAAACCTATTGAAAATGATGTTTGATCTTAAATTAAACTTGATTACTCTGAAAATTAACACACTTAGAGGCCTGGCGATGTATACTGAGGTTATTGTCAGCATAGATGCTGTGAGTATAGACTTTGAATACAAGGCCTTCATGAATGTAGTTGTATGCACTGAATGGACTTCTGTTTTCTTTGTTGCAGTGATTCTTTGACATGGATTTATTGCCTGATTTAAAGCAATGTGCCTTTGTCATAACCAGTTAAATGACATCTGAGGGTGCCGTGACATGGCATTCGTCTGAAGAGTAGAGGGCCTTTTTGTTTTTGTCATTTAAATGAAATATCACGTGCGTACGGTCGGCGTGTCTCTTTTCACAGCTTCCAAAGGCTGTTCGCAGCATTGAAGGCTACTTCAGCTAAAATAAAATTTCACTTATTAAATTCTTCCATTTACAGAAGACTTGATTAGACTCGAAAACAATTGAAGATACTGTAGTGCTTTTCTTCTTCTGCTGGTAGTGCTTCCTAATCGATGCCATTTTGTTTCTTTGGCACTAAAACCACTTTAGTTCAATTATGTTCTAGCACTGGACTGTCACTTGACGGTGTTCAGGGATGCGTCTCCGTTTTGGGTTGAGGAGCTGCAATCTCATATCGTCATGTGATTAGAGGACGAGCAGTTTTTGGGCGTTTCAATGGGTTTCGGGAGTGAAGCATGTCTGTAATCTGAAGTACTTGTTTGTTTTAAGCCATTGAGATGCTGTTTTCACCGTTTCGCTCCCCTCTGTTTTCTCAATCACTTTGCTTTAGTTCATTCACTTTGCCACGCAGAAGTCTGGTGACCAAATCATGAAATGTTTATTGAGCCTGGGAAATATTTGTACCAATGCTATATGTATATTGAGATTTAAATTAGATTCCCTGGCTGTCTGTCTCTCTCTTTTTTTTTTTTTTTGCGGCTCTTTGTTTTTCTTGGATTTGCCTGTACATACCGAGGGCTTTTAAGGTGCATCGGCTTCTTCTATTCGTCCATTTTTAAGAACCCATTTTCTAAGACTTTCTCTCAGTTCTGGAGCGTGAAAAACGTTTGACGCGTTCACTTGGAAAATAGTCTAATAACTACATACCTGTGTCTGATTGTTCATTGGAAAGAAATGTACTATGTGCTGCCTGTATATTGTATATAATTGTAAAACGCATCAGAAAGATCAAATCAAATAAAAATCCAGTTTGAAAATGTGTGATGTTAAATCAAGGAGGATGTTTGGATGCTAATTGATATTTTAATTCGATGATCGATGACACTCTTTCTTAAAGCACTCAAATGCTGCATGTGAGGATTCCAATTGTTTTTCTATAGAAAAGCAATATTTGATCAACAAAAAGATTCCACTGTTTGTTTGTTGTTAAATCTGGTTATTTTTTTATTAATCAAAATAATACTGGAAACACTTGAAACATTGGCTAACCTAAAGCTCAAGTTTTGTTTGATCAATGTTCATTTAGCTCTGAAGTAATAACTTTTATCCTAATATTATTTATGCATTTAGCAGTTGCTTTTATCTAAACTTACTAGGAATTAATTTAATCAGTTACTGCTTTCCCTGTGGTTCCCACAAATTTTCTCCAGTGACCAAACCACAGAAAACCAGTATCTTTAAGATTAGGATGAATGTTCAAAAAGTCAATTTTATTAAAAATTACATGCCAAACGGTACCTTGCTGTATTATAAGGAAGTTTAATATATATTCATCAACAAAATCTCACCCAGATAAAGATAAAGTCTGGGTGCTCAGTCTTTAACCTGCAGCGATATCAGTCTAAAACTTACAGAAACCTGCGGGTCCTCGGTCCACCCATCTACCTTCCGGAGTTGCAACCCAAAAATACATACTGCTGACCTGGGATCAAGGATAATCTACTCAAGTATGAATGAAAACATGGGGAGCAGAAAAATGATATATGCGCACACAATATGAGAACTGGGTTCATTGAAGTCTCTAGACAAGTCTTTTGTCTTCATTCCTGATTTGAAACCTAACCGTTTCGGTCAATCGTGGAACTTTGTATACTTTACATTTGAACTTATTGGCAAAGGCTATGAATTCTCACAGTAAGCGAATTCTTATTTTTTCTTAATTTGTAGCATTTTAAAATTATTTATATACTGGTTAAATAAAAAAAAATGGTAAAAATGAATAAGTCCCTGATATAATTTCCATTCTGTACAGGTTTCGATTTGCTCTCGAATCTTTAAGGTGATTTGGGGCAGTATTTTGAGTACATATGCTTTTCCTCTGGGGTTCTACACGCCTGCAGGATCAATGTGTGTTGGGAGGGTTGAAGACCTCTCCATTTTTGCTGGAAGACAAGAGAATTTCATCTGGTATCGTAGTCTGACAGTAACCACATGGGAGATATAAGAACAATGGTGATGAGGACTTTGATTTGGAGAAACTGATCAAAACAATTGATTTCACTTTTTAGAGGTTGTTTTGATTCTATCTGGTGTCTCCCCCTGGTGTTCAAATAATGAAACTGCATATTTCCATCAATAAAACTGCAGGAGATTTACAAAATGGATTGCCAGTTAATTTGTAGTTTGCAAAACCTAATAAAAAAGCACACTAGTCTGAGTTTGTTACATGTGGATAACAGTAGGTAGTAAATACCCTTATGACAACAATCACTTTAAGTCTGAGAGAAGTTCTAAAGGACAAGATGCAAGTTGGTCCAACATTACAACTGAAGTAATTTCACATATCCTTGAATTACGTCAAATCAATCATGTCACTCACACTTCTGTGTGATCAAACTGCCCACTTGGGAAACAACATTGATTGTCAATCAGTTTCACATGCAATTGGGCAAATTGAATAGATAATGGGAGGAAATGATCAATAATTACAAAGACACCCCCAATAAAGAAGTGGTAGTGACAACAGTTCCTGTGAATTCTTGCTTGGGAAGTGGATTTTCTCTAGGATGCATATCAATAAGAGTTGTGGCAAAGAAGGATTGGTTTGGCAGTGGGTCAGTAATGGTGGGGGGTGGCATTTCTTTAGAGGGTGCCTGCCAGAGGTAGCCACACTGCCTTTAGGTACCGAGATGAGCCCATATGCAGTTATAGTTTTTCCTGGGCTCCTCCTATTGTAAGACAATGCTAGACCTTGCGTGAATGGAGTCTGTCAGCAGTTTCTTCAAGATTACGACATTGATGATATGGACTGGCCACGCGTTACCCAAACCTAAGACATCATGTCTCCCTCCATCCACCAATACCACTTTGCAACACAGACAGTACGGGAGTTGGGTGATGTTTTAGACTATGTAGACCATTCACCATCCTTTTTGTGGCACTCGTGGCCTAGTGTATAAGGTGATCGACTGGAGATCAAAAGGTCGTTGGTTCGATCACCAGCTTCACTGGGAGTCGAAGGTGGGATGAGTGTTGAAACTCTCTTCCACCAGTGACAACCATTACTGTGGTTACAGTACTTGAGCAAGTCACCAGAAGCTCCCCGGGCACTGCAACTATGGCTGCTCCCGTTGTGTTCATGGTTTGTTCTTTCATTGCTGTGTGTGTGCACTTGGATAGGTTAAATGCAGAGCACAAATTCCTTGTATGGGTCACTCCATACTTGGTCCTTCTGTCACTTTCACATTTCACCTTATTAGCCACACATACACACACACCATTGAACCTCATTCTGACTTGCGTTATGGTTATGACATCAATGTTGGAGTGTTGGAGTGTGTTCGAGTATGACTCCAAATCCAGACCTCCAGGGGTTTACATAAATTTGACATCCATTCCTCATTGGATGATTGCGTTGAATTCCAAAAGAATTTTTTATTCATTCAGATCTAGGATGTGTTATTTTCTGAGTAGTGTACTTTACACAGTAGTAAGCCACGTTGGACTTTTCTGTTCGAATCATCTAATCACTCTGAATCAACTTCAAGTTCTCTACCTGGCCTGGCTATAGGTCTTAATCAGGACCGTAGGTGACTTCAGGGGTCTCCTAGAGTGCCAAGCGTCAAAGGCATGGTTAGATCCTGATTAAAGCTACCAGTTCATTGCAAAACCACATTCTATAAACAATCCCTGTTGGCAATTTAAATAAATTTTAGACATAAAAGTATTTAATTATTGAACAGTTTCTATAGTTGACTTATAAGGTAAAATATTGTATAATTGATTATCAAACCAACTTTCTGGTTCCTCATTCACACCAGTTCTGAACATGGAGTGTGTTTGAAATGAGTAATTTACAGCATTCACTTAATGTGTGTTTAGTTTAAAGTTTAACAGATGGGAAAACAGGTTGCACAAGAATAGCTACTGTAAAATGCCAGTAATTCTTGATAAGACTCTGACATGAAACACTTTCATTTACCATTAGCTTTCCTTAAACAGTGCAGACTGGTGAAGGAAGAAGACCGCTCAAATCCAGAAACTTTCCTGAAAAGTCTGTTCAAGCATTGCTTGAGAATGCAAATTGAGGTACAAATTACACCCTAAATTATACCTTAAAGGCAAATTTTATCTTGAAAAGGTACGGTTCATTGCTGTTATCCTCACGTTTGTTTGTGAGGGTAGCAGAAAATGTTTATTGGGGGGTTGATGTAAATTACGTAATAAAACACTGATGATGCTTTGATTCTAAATATAAGCAGGAACTTCAATACTTTCTTCTTTGCCAAAAACCTGCTCCAAATTTTCTGAGGTGACCGTGAGACATTACCAGGCCAGCAAAGACCCAAATTTCTCAAGCACGTCCTTGGTCTTCCTTCCATGTTCTCAGAGGGACATGGCCAGACCCCCATCTCCAGGGAGATGACAGGAATAGATGCAGGACTATATGTATATGTATAGATTGACTAGTAAATTGACAGCTTCACCATGTAGCGGTGCAAACAAATCGGTATAGCGACCATATTACTAAAGAAGCTACTCTGATCAGTTGCCCTTTTCATGTTTCAATCACTTGCAAAGAAGATCCCAAGATGCTTAAACACCTCCACTTGAGGCAGGAGAACGCCATCAACGTACATCTCCTGGATGCACCTAGAGACCAGAAAAAGTCCAGCCTGTGCACTGGCACAGGTCTGACTTACTTCAAGCACAGTAAAGAATCTCTGACAGGACACCGAGAAGGACGCAGTGGAATGTGATCAAGAAAACGCATGTAGACTCATAGGGCAAACTCCCATGAGACACCTGAAGACCACCCTGAAGAAGGTTATTCCACCCTGATATTCCATGCCTTGGGGAAAAGATACTGCAGGCCGTCGTTACTCCATGGCCATTGTTCCTCCTGGATCTAAGGTTCAACTATAGGTTGAATTCTCCTCTACAGTACCCTGTCATAGACTGAGGCTGAGAGTTTGATCTCTTTTTAGTTGGATAATGCATGAGAGAAAATGAGTATGGCACTTGTATACTCTTCACTTGTATACAAAAATATGTTACATGGAGAATTTAACCTGTTACAACTATTCATTAAGTAGCTTGTAATAAAACAAAAAAGGAAGTAAAGCTAAAATATTTGTCCACTTTTACGCACTCGATCTTGCAGAAGTAAATAATACATGAGAGAAAATGTGCAGTGTCTATGCACTCCTTTTTATGCAAACCAGCTCCCTGGTATCTCATTAATTCACAACTGACCAGAAACAACATTTGGCGAATAAAGAAAAATATATCGTCTACTTCAGAGTAAGACGATTAATTTAAAATTAATCCACAAAGTCCACTTTTCCACAATCCACTTTTCCACACAGTTTTGCCATTCATTCACATCTACAACTAGCGCTGGTTTAGTATAACTCTTTCTGAAAACCAAACCAAGGGTTTAAAAAAAAAAACAGGTTAGGTGTTACTGTGTAGACAGGACTTTTTTTACATACCAGAAATCATTTTTGCCTAAATAACTTTGGGTTTAGAATTGGATAATCACAGTGCTTCTTAGAGATGTATGCATTTTTTTTTTCAAAACCATGCTGTATGGCAACAACTTCTTTTTTAAAAACACCAGTGTCCGTGTGGACATGACTTCAATGTCAAGGGGGCTGGGTAGTAGACAAGCAGCTGAAAAGCAGGGCTACAAAATGTACAATTGGTTAGTTCATTACAAGGTCAAATTCAAACTCAAATTCACCCTGTGGTATAGTTTTTGGCTTGTGGGAAGGGTTCTGTCTGGTACCCTCAACTCCACACAGAAAACTCCAGTCCTAGCTCTGAACAAAGGACCTTGTCACAATAGATAACAGTTTTAACCATATGATACATAAACATACATGCGTTCTTAAGGGAAATATTCCTTTTGAAAAATGATTTTCATTAGTGGATGAGCTGTCCCTTTAAGAATCCTCCTGAATAATTCAGTATCGGAAGTTCAAAGATGGGCGGTGTTTTATGAATAATAAGTTACCCCGCCCCCCTGATGTTTATTGATCAGGTTTATTTGACAGCCGTGAGCTTCAGTCCCACTATGGCGTCTCATCAAATCAGGATGAGCTTTTTCAACCGCCTCCTGTACCGGAATTTATCCCTCGTCAGCCCTTATCTTACATCTGGATTTCGGTGCTGAAAGACGTCAAATGTAGGCGAAATGAAGGACGAGAAAAGCACTGTGCGCTCGCTCCAGAGTGCCGAGGTGGAGCGGAGGAACGCGGCCGAGGAGGGTGATGGCCGGGCGGGCAGCGGAGTGGCTAGCACCACGGTGCTTCAAGAAGCCCCCGCACCGACAGTCCGAGCGGGAACAGGAACGGGAATACGCGTTTTAAAGGTACCTACCATCTCTTACCCCGTTTAACTATCGCTGCAATAGTTAAGCAAGCAGCAGTAAGGCCAAAGTACGTGTGAATCCGTGAACTGCATCAGCAATTATGTGTTTAACACTTCCACACGCTGTCGTGTCTCATTTTCTAGCTAGCGCCCTACACAGTGAGCACATTTAAGCAACGTCACGCCCCTTTAATGCCTAAAATTCCCCATTGTGAAGGGGGTTGCTAATCTTTTTTTTTAGTTATGGAGTAAAAATTTAAACAATTACCCAAATAAATGATTGTATTATTTTATACACAGAATATATTTTGAAGAATGCTGGAAAATGCACACTTTTGGCATCAAAAACTATTTAGCTGTTGTTTATGATGATTTCAGAGTAGAATAAATCCAAATAGTATTTGGTTATGTTACACAAACACAGAAAGTAAATTTGTTTATTAAATTTGTTTTAGGCAATTAACATACATTTCACAAAGTCTAGTTGTCTGCCCACTCAGTGAAGACATTACGACAATATTGTAACCATGAACCGTCGATCCGATGCCCAATATTGATCCTTTCAGTGATGTCATAGCAAAGGAGGGATTTTATAATTTATTTATATATTTATATTGTTTCCTCTCCTCAATAGAATGCTATCTTGACTTGTAACTTTTCGTTACGCCTATATCGTGTTGAATAGAAAGTGAAATCAAAGTGCCCATAATGTGGCCTATGGCAAGTTTCTCTTTACTTGTATACAAAATATGTTGTAATGAAGGAAAGGTTACCTGGAGAATTTAACTTGTTTTGACGATTCTTTAAGTAGCTTGTAATATACAAGGAAATAAAGTAAAAATATTTTATGTCTGGGTGAACTGTCATCCATTGGTCTATCCATATGAAGCTCATCCAAGCTGTCATTTGCTGATAGTGTGGTGGTACACAGGGCAAAAGTCCATTGAAGAGTAACTCACTCGTCATTCCTATTCCTTTCTATCACCAATCCACCTGCTATGCATTAGCATAAACTGTTGTAGTGAAGCACAATGGAGAACAATCTGTTAACATGCAACAAGTTCTCTTAGCACAACACGCCCTCTTAACAATCAGCATCCGACGCGCTCTCTTGGCCTGCAGCATCCGACGCGCTCTCTTGGCCTGCAGCATCCAACGCGCTCTCTTGGCCTGCAGCATCCGACCGCTCTCTTGGCCTGCAGCATCCGACGCACTCTCTTGGCCTGTAGCATCCAACGCGCTCGCATTACCTGCAGCATCGGACGCCATCCCATGACCTGCAGCTTCGGACGCCATCCCATGACCTGCAGCTTCGGACGCCATCGCATGACCTGCAGCATCCGACGCGCTCGCATGACCTGCAGCATCCGACGCGCTCACATGGCCTGCAGCATCCGACGCGCAGGCCATGCAGTCGGATGCTGCAGGCCATGCGAGCGCATGACCTGCAGCATCCGACGCGCTCGCATGGCCTGCAGCATCCGACGCGCTCGCATGGCCTGCAGCATCCGACGCGCTCTCTTGGCCTGCAGCATCCGACGCCCTCGCATGGCCTGCAGCATCCGACGCCCTCGCATGACCTGCAGCATCCGACGCCCTCGCATGACCTGCAGCATCCGACGCCCTCGCATGACCTGCAGCAT